TGCCACCACACCTAACTTCCAGTCACCTGTCAAAGGGCATGTTCCTCAAGATTTAGTTTTGCTTCATTTATTGATTGTCTTATGGATCCTAGACCGACTTCAAATTCAATATATAGCTGAGGGTGACCTTTAACTTCTAATCCTCCTGCTTCCAGCTCCCAAATGCTGGGATTGCAGTCATGGATCAGCACACCCTGGGTATGCTGTGCTAGGAATCAAACCCAGGGCTTCGTGCACTGGCTGAGCTACATCCCCAGCTCCTTTACTTCCAGGCATTAGAGACTGGATGCATGCCTTATGTGTGGGATTTCACAATATTAAGTAAGTTCTCTATAATACCTTGTATCACCTGTACCCCATGCCACAGAATATCAGGAAATGGCTTTTAAAAGCCCAGTTCATTTGTGAGACTATCACAAGCTCATTTTCATATACAAATCTCACTTATCTATAAACTTCCACACCATATTTATATTAAAGTCGTATCATCTGTTTTTCTCCAGCCAAAGGCATTTTTCTCTTTGCTTATTATAAACAGCTTGACCTGTCATTGCTTATCCTAATGCATTTTTAAAACAAGTTTCTTGTTACATTTATTTATTGTATGTATATGTGTGTGTGTGTGTGTACACACGAGCACAAGCACGCATGTGTGAGCACGCATGTAGGTGAGAAGATAGCAACTTGAGCCCCCTGAATTGCATGCCGAGCCCCTACCCAGTGAATTAGCAGGCCATCGGGGAACTGTGTGCAGTGTGTCTCTGAAGAAATGTAAGAGTGAGGTGGAGGAAAGTTGTGGCATTTGGTTTTCTCCTTTTACTCTGTGGGTGTCAGGGACTCAGGTCATTAGGCGCAGTGGCAAGTGTCTTTCCCGCTGGGCCATCAAGCCAGTCACAATGCAGTTTTTAAACTAGTGTCTACCTGGACTCTTTTAAGCAGCCTACAGTTTTTGTGTACTGTACAACTCCCCTAAGCTGAGCTCGCACTGAATATTATTATTAATACTGGAGTTGGGGGCTTCAGAAGGAAGAACGGTTTCAAGCGGTAGCCGACAGCGACCACTGACAACAGGTACAAAGGACAAGCAGCAAGAACCAGACAGTGTGAATCTGGACTGGACATGCTTCTAGATTCCCTGTGACAATCCAGGCAGCTCCCTAACAGAGGAAGGACAACAGGGAGCGGCTGCAGGTGACAGCAGTGAACCTGGCGTCACCACTCCTCTGCCTCTGGTCCTTCCTTCAAAGGCTATCCTTTTCCTTATGACAACTCTCGACACCAAAGCATCCGGCTCCAGCCAGTTCTCTAGCCTTTGCTTGTACCACTCTGCCCTTGACTTTCGAAACCCCACGTCCTAGCCAGGCCCTCTCTTCCTCCTGGCTCTGCACATGCTGTTACTTCGGTTTGTCATCCCTTCCACATTGCTACAGCTTAAAGATCACTTCCGAAGAGAAAGCTTCCCCAGCGGCGTCCACACCCACGATCTCTTAGCACATCTCCCAGGGTGCACTGTCCTTGTCTGGCTTTGGACCTATCACAATTACATATTCATTTGTATGAACACTATCTCCTGTGGTGGCAGGCATTTGGTGTATCTGGTTCTTTGCTGAACTCAGCACCCAGCCTAGCTGCCTGTCACCCGGAAGAACAGGTGTTGAATATGGATATTGAATGAGTGAGAGAAACACTTAGCCATAGGATTGAGGTGGTTTTGTTTGTTTGAACCAGCTCTCCACTCCCTCAACTGTTAAATTGGGATTATGGTAATTACAAACTTCAGAATTGCTGTGGATTAAGAGTCAAGGTATGTAGTGTGCTTGGTATGTGCATGACATATAGTAAGCATTAGGAAACATTAGCTATTATCATCATTAAAAAGAGACTCTGAGTATCCGAAACTCTTAAACATTGTCAGTAATAATGTGAACATAGTACTCTTGCTTATAATTATAAACACGGATCATACCACTTAGTAATCTTTTTTTTCCCCCCCGAGACAGGGTTTCTCTGTGTAGCTTTGGAGCTATCTTAGAACTCGCTTTGTAGACCAGGCTGGACTTGAACTCACAGAGATCCACCTGCGTCTGCCTCTGGAGTGCTGGGATTAAAGGAGTGCGCCACCACCATCTGGCCCACTTAGCAATCTTACGTCTGGGTATACACCTCAGTGAACAGAAAATTTACACAAAAATGTAGACAGGAATGTTTATAGCACTTTTATTCACAACTCCTCAGACCGAAAACAACTCAGATGTTTTCCAGTCAGTGAGTAGATAAACAAATCAACGGAGTACTGCACAGCAAGAAACAAACTGATGATATGAGTAATGAAATGGATGAATCACAAATCCATCATGCTAAGTGAGAGGAGAAAGACTCAAAAGGTGACATGCGGTATGATTCCATTTATGTGGAATTTATATGACGTTCTGGAAAAGTCAGAACTCTAAGACTAAAACTCAGGCCAGTGGTTTCCAGATAATAGAGTGGATGTGAAGAAAAGTGGGGGGATTATGGCAATGTCCTAACTGGATTGTGGTGTGCTTACATGACTATATGCATTTATCAAAGCTCATGGCATTGGAAACTGAAAAGGGCTGATTTTACTATATGCAAATGAGAAATAATTTACAATAGAAAAGTAAAACAATAGATAAAACTATTTTCCTTTAGGAATGGTACACATGGTTTCCTTTCTCGTTCTACTCCCTTGTATCTCCTTTCATCTCTTTTTGTTTTATCTTATTTTTTAAAATTTCTTAATTTTACGTGTATGGGTGTTTTGCCTGCATGTACATCTGTATACCATGTGCATGCTTGGTGTCCAAGGAAGCCATAAAAGGGTGCTGGATCCCTTGGAACTGGAGTTACAGACCACTGTGAGCTGCCATGTGGGTACTGGGACTTGAATTCAGCCCCTCTGGGAGAGCAGCCAATGTTCCTAACTGCTGAGCCATCTCTTTAACCCCTTTATTTTATTTTTACTTTTTTGAAGATAGGGTTTCACTGTGTAGCCCTGGCTGTCCTGGAACTCACTCTGTAGACCAGGCTGGCCTTGAACTCACAGAGATGCTCCTGTCTCTGCCTCCCAAGTGCTGGGATTAAAAGCATGTTCTGATACCCCCAACCAGTTCAGACCTAGCCCCTTTATTTTTTAATTATGTATACGTGTGTATGTCTGCCTTGTGTTTGTGGGAGCTCTTGGAGGCCAGAAGAGGATGTTTTATGCTTTGGAGCTGGAGTTATATGTGGTTGTGAGCTGCTCAATGAAGGTACTAGGAACTGAACTTGGATCCTGGATCCTCTAGAAGAACAGAAAGCACTTTTAACTGCTGGTTTTTGAGACAGTTTCACCACATAGTTCTTCTGGCCTCAAACTCTCCATCTTTCTACCTGTTTCCAGAGTACTGGTATCTACAGGCATGTGCTACTACATCCAGCTGGCACCTATATTTCTAATAATAAAAGCTGGCACCTACAATTTCTGATAATACTGTATGTTTATTGCAGACATATGGGAAAAATGCAGAAAAAAATATTTCCTTGTCATTGACTTTTGGTTGCGACGGGGTCTCATGTAGCCCAGGCTGGCCTCAAACTCACTATGTGGCTGAAGCCAGCCTTAACCCCTTGTCCTCCAGCTGCAGTCTTCCAAGTGCTGAGATTATAGGCTAGTGCCATTACACCCAGCCAATATTGCTTTCATATATATATATATATATATATATATATATATATATATATATTCTACTTTCTGAAATACAGTGTGTGTACATTCCCATGTCATTAAATAATTATAACAACCATAATTTTATGAGTCAGTAATATATATGTATGTGCAAATGTGTGGAGGACAACTTGTGAGAGTCAGGGCTCTCTTTCCACCATGTGGGTTCTGGAATGAATTCAGGCATGGGGCTTGGGCTCAAGTGTTCTTCCGGCTGAGCCATCTTGCTGATCCCCCACTCTCCTCCTGCAATTTATACTTCTATGCATTTCTTTGTTGCTAAAAATTATATTGCTCATACAATTTCTTTTTTTGCAAACTAAAACAACAATAAAGTTCCATCCCCAACACTGCAATGTTTTTTTTAAAAGAAATAGAGCAAATTATATATATATATATTATTATATATATTATTGGAGCAACTTCAAAAAATAATATAAGTTCAGCAGGGCCAGAGCTCCTCCGTCCAGGGTTTCACAATGTTGAACTGGTAAGGCAACCTTCCCTTGGCTGCAACTCCCTCATTGTTCCAGGTCATACTGGAAAAGTGGTTCCACAGGGTGATCTGGCTCCTCTCTTTGTGATGTACGAGGCTAGACATCCTAACATTTCCTGTACTACCAGCTTAAATTTGCATAATACTTCCAATATTTAATGCTCACCCCATCTAATGTAGCGTAAGCAGGGCAGATCAGAGTCCTTTGTTCAAGATCATAGGCTCATCAAGAGTGTAAACACGGATGGATGTACAGCCCGGATATTATTAGGTCTCAAAAAACACTTCCCAACGTTGGGTTGCTTCGTTCCCCCAACCCCCAGCCTAGCAAGGAGGCTTCAGACAACTCTGCCCAGTGGATCCTTATCTAAGGAACAGGCGCTCTCCCAACCTTCAAATGTCCTTGGCAACACTGCCACTTACCAGCTGGGGCCATTTCACTCCCGATGGCAGGGGGGACACATAGCCCTTACCAAGGGGGCCCAACGAGCGGTGGCACGCGAGCTTCGCAGCCCCCGGGGCTTGCTGCCCATCCGTCGCGACACTGCCGGGGCTGCCGCTTTCTGGGGCGCTCCCGCGACACATAGGCGCCGGTGGGGGGACGCACCATGGGCGAGGTGGAGAGGGCCTCCATCAGTTTAAGGATTGGCCGCGGGCGGGCCACCAGGGAACCTGTGGTTAAGGCTTGTCTGATGATAATCCTGGGACTTGACAGCCATGCCTCCAGAGGTCAGTCCTCCGCTATCCCAGAGTCCCCCGGTTCCCGGAAGTGCCCGGCTCTCCGGAAGTGCCGGGCTAGCTGTAAGAATAGCGGCTTTCTCGAGCGCTGAACCTGGTGGGTTGCAGTTCTGGGGTCCTGGTGACCGCGCAGGAGCAGGGTTGGAGCGGGGCGTTGGGGCTGAGCGGCAGGATGATGGAGGAGGAGGAACTGGAGTTCGTAGAGGAGCTGGAGGCCGTGCTGCAGCTCACGCCTGAGGTGCAACTAGCTATCGAGCAGGTGAGCGCTCCACCCCCTCAGGAGGGAGCTCCGGGTCCGGGCGGAACCCACCCGCCTAGGCTGGAAGGGTGGCGGCCTGGTGCGCAGAGGGGTCTGGATTTTGGTGGAGGTGGGAATGGGTTTCTCAGCTCATGGACCGAGCTCTGGGCTCGGGTGTCCTCTCTAGGCTCAGGTTGTCACGCCCTGCTGGGTTTGGGCCCAGATGCTGTGCTTTTTGACAGGATGAACCTAGGAGAAACCCCGTGACTGGATAATTCAGATGATGGGAGATTGTGAGACCTCATTCATTTTCCAAACTAGTGCTGCTGCTCCCGTTTCTCAAGTTAAGCCCTTGGAATTGGCAGCGGGAGACTTTCATTCCGGAAACAAGTGTTGTCATTGGGGGCGGGGGCTGTCATACTGGGAAAATGGCTCTTAGGCTGGTGAGGGAGGCGGAGAGGGAGGAACGAGAATTTGGCACAAGCTGGAGTTACCTGGGAAGAGGAAGCCTCAGTTGAGGATTTGTTTCCATCGGATTGGCCCATGGGCAAGTCAATAGGGCATTTTCTTGGTTGATGATGTAGAAGGGCCCCGCCCACTGTGCGAGTGAGGTACCACCCCTGGGCAGCTGGGCCTGGGTTGTATAGAAAAGCAAGCTGAGCGAGCCATGGAAAGCAAGCCAGTAAGCAGTGTTCCTTATGGTTTCTGTGCCAGTTCCTACCTGATGATGCACTTGTAAGCCAAATCAACTCTTTTCTTCCCAAGTTACTTTTGGTCATGGCGTGTTATCACAGCGATGGAAAGCAAACTAAGACAGACCTTTACCATAATTAAAAGGTTGAGGGCCAGCGAGATGGTTCAGTGGGTAAAGGCACTTTGCCACCAAGCCTGGTGGCCCGAGAACCCTCAAAGTAGAGGGAGAGAACTACTCCTGACCTGTACACATACATGTGTGTCGTCGTCGTCGTCCCCTCCCCAACACACACATAGGTCCCACACACATAAATACAGTAAAAATGTTAAAAGGTTGAGAATTCCTGCTATTTGGGTTATGTTGGTGAATATTCCTAAGAGTCCTCGATTCCCGACAAGAAGTTCTCTTGACTAAATCCCCTTGCCCAATATATTAAAATTTATGGTAAAGGTATTAGAAGTAATTGTTTAAGTCCCATATAGGTTTTGTTCTTAATAAAGGGGAAAAGATCTTCCTTTAACATGGGGCTGTGATGTAAGAAAAAGCACATTAGGAGCTAGGGATATGGCTCAGTGCTAAAGCACTTGTCTCATGTGCCTGAGGATCTAGGTTCAATCCCCAGTACAAGTGCAAAAGAAAGAAAAGGAAGAGTATGCCTCACTTAATGACTGTGGGGAAGTTTGCACAACAACATTAATTCTACTATTACTAATTAGTATATGTGGACAATTAATACTTTTTGTTTGCGTTTTTGAGACAGAGCTTTTCCGTGCAGCACTGGCTGTCCTGGAACGTGGTAGACCCAGCTTGACCATTAATAATTAGCCATGGGTCTGCCACTGTACTAAATACAGTGCTTATATTTTCCCACTTATAGATTTTCTGTGTGTGTTTTGGGGGAATGTTAGCTTTGCTCCTGTAAACCACATTTGTTACATCCCAAGGCTGATATCCCATTGGGTAAAACTTGAAGTGCTGGGGCCATGCTCCTTCAGCATCTGTTTCCTTCAGCCAGAACAGGTGGACTCTGATGGAAGAAACAATACAGTCAGTTACTGTTTGAATTGGAAATATCAGAATGTCACATTGTTGTTATTATCACATGTTATAATACATTTTCTTTAGTTTTATTTTTTTCAAGACAGGGTTTCTGTGTAGCCCTAGATGTCCTGGAACTCACTCTATAGACCAGGCTGGCCTCGAACTCAGAACTCAGAGATCTGCCAGCCTCTGCCTCCTGAGTGTTGGGCTTAAAGGCGTGTGCCACCACCGCCCCGCCACAGTTTCTATTCTCGAGTTTTCAAGGTTTAGTCACCAGACACTTGATGTCAAGATGAATTTAGATTTTTTTCTTTAATAGTTCCAGATCCTAAAAATCCTGCAAGTACTTGTACAATAGCATTATTGTAAAGAGTATCAAGTTAAGGGTTGATATAACAGAATCACATTTTACCTGGAGGTAAGTTCCAGAGGGAGTGCATAAAGTGAGTACCACTACAGCCATGTTCCTCTTGAAATTCTTTAAAGCTATGAAGTTCAGCATCTAAAGGTCTTCTGATAACTCTAGTGTTTTCTCTGCCAACGCTGGGGCCAGGCATTCTCTTTATAGGTGTCACCGGATGAGTAGCTTAAGTCAAGGGCTGTGTTGTGTGAAATCTCTTAATGCCTGGGATGAAATCTCTTAATGTCCAGGAGCAGGAGGAGAGGAATGAAGGAACTGGGAGCAGTCAGAGGAAGTGGATAATTCACTAACTTCCTCATACCCAATCACAATGGCAGGCCCTGTTCCCAGCACTCCCTCTGCCGAGGGCATTTAATTAATTGTATAATCACATGTATGTGTGGTGTATTCCCACCATAGGTGGACAGTACAAAAGTGAAAATGCTCAGCTTTTAAATAAAATGCTAAGCTTCATCTCTCACTGACTTTGCCTCCACCTGCCGTTTATATCATGGAAGCCATAAACTCTCCTAATAACTGTCTTCTGCCTCTCTTAGAAGACTTTTTGATTCATTCATTTTTATTCTTAAGTCAAAAAATTACTTATTTGCTATTTTGTGTTTATGTGTGTGTCTGAGTGAGTTTATGTATGATTTACTATTTTGTGTTTGTGAGTCTGAGTGAGTTTATGTATGATTTACTATTTTGTGTTTATGTGTGAGTCTGAGTGAGTTTATGTATGCCACATACATTTGGGAGCCCTTGAAGGCCAGAAGATTCCCTGGAATAGGAATTAGAGGCAGTTTCGAGGAGCTTCTGTATGAGTTTTAGAACTGAACCCAAGTCCTCTGCAAGAGCAGCAAGTGCTCTTAACTCTGGGCCATCTCTCTGATTCCTTTTTTGTTTTGCTTTTTTGAGACAGCGTTTCTCCATGCACCCCTTGCTGTTATGATTTTTTATTATGCAGGGGGACCCCCAAGGGTATCCCACACATGCAGGGAAACACGCTGAGAAGATGTAGCCGTGGGCTGGGCAGATGCACACCACGCAGGGCATGGCGGTGGCCAGTGATACACAACCCAGACAATGCATCCACGTGGAGAGTTTATTATAATAAGAGATAAAGAGGCAGAGAGATGAAAAGAGGAAGAGAGAGAGAGAGAGAGAGAGAGAGAGAGAGAGAGAGAGAGAGAAAGAGAGAGAGAGAGAGACCGAGTTTTTCCTTAAAAAGAGACTTTCACGTCAGGATACAGGGTGGTCCTGAGGGGCAGGATCAGAATATTAACACTGGCTGCACTGGAACTCACTGTGTAGACCAGGCCGGCCTCAAACTCACAGGCATATGCAGCTGCCACCACCACCACCTGGCCATGATTCTTTAACCTTAAATTTCATAGGAAGCTGCTCCTCTGAAGATTGCTTTACAGAGTTATATATGTCTTGAGCTGATAAAATTCAGTACCCAGGGGATCACTGTTTTTTCTGGTTTTTGTTTTGTTTTGTTGTTGTTTTAATTATTACCTCTCTCTCTCTCTCTCTCTCTCTCTCTCTCTCTCTCTCTCTCTCTGTGTATGTATGTATGTATGTATGTACATGTATACATGGGCACCACAGAGTCAGAGGATAACTTACAAGAGTCAAGTCAGTTCTCTTCTGCAACATGTGGGACCTAGGGACTGAAGTCAGGCCTTCAAACTCGGTGGAAATGATTTTACCTGCTGAGTCTAATCCTGTCGGTCTCTGCCTCCACACACCTGAGTTGGAAAGTCTTGTGTAGGCCTTCACTCACTGTGCAGCTGAAATTGACCTTGAGTTCCCGATCCTCCATAGTCACTCTGGTACATGTATGCACACACACCATCTCCCAGGTAGACACCATGTCCCAGCCTTTTATAACCCATCCTCTTACCTATTTTTCAAGTTGTGACTTTTTTTTTTTTTTTGGTTTTTCAAGACAGGGTTTCTCTTGTGTAGTTTTGGTGCCTGTCCTGGATCTTGCTCTGTAGACCAGGCTGGCCTCGAACTCACTGCAATCTGCCTGGCTCTGCCTCCCAAGTGCTGGGATTAAAGGCATGTGCCACCACCTGGCTAGAAGTCTAAAATCTTGAATCAAAAATATTAGCAGGAGCCAGGCATTCTGGCATACCTCTATAATCCAATTACTTGGGAGGCTAAGGCAGGAGGACCAGTTCAAGGCCATCCTGGGCCATTTAATGAGTTGCAGGGTAGCCTGAGCTACATAGTAAGATCATCTCTCAAAAACCAAAACAACAAACACCACCAGAAAATGGCGTCTGCAGGCCCACACTTGCTCTGAAGACTCAGGAAGACTCGTGTGTTGGCCCTCCTTGCTTCTGCTGGCTGCCGGCGCTGCTTGGTGCTCCTTGGCCTCTGTCTTCTCGTGGCTTTCCGCTCTTGTCTCCTCCATTCCTGTGTCCACATTTTCTTGAGGATCCATTATATGTGAAGCCTTATAGAGTGAAAAAGTGGTAGCACACGCCTTTAATTCCGGCACTCAGAAGGCAGAGCCAGGCGGATTTCTGTCAGTTCAAGGCCAGCCTGGTCTACAGATCGAGATCCAGGACAGGCACCAAAACTACACAGAGAAATCCTGTCTCGGAAAAAAAAGAGAGAGAGAGTATAGCAAGAATCTTAAAAGTTCTTATTGATAAAATCAAACCTGAGGCCAGTTATTGGGGTGAATACTGGAAGGTCAGAGAGACAGAACAAGCCACAGCTATCTCACCTCGCTGGATCCTCAGCTGGTCTTGTCTCCTCAGACTGGAGGCCTCTGAGTCCTCATCCGGAATGGGTCTCAGCTGAACTGCTGCTCGAAAGCCTGAAGCTTAACCAGCCACATGCTTAACCAGCCAAATGCTGCTAGTTTCTGGTCCTCACGCCTTATATATCTTTCTGCTTTCTACCACCACTCTCTGGGATTAAAGTCTGGCTCTCTGGGATTAAAGGCATGTGTCACCATGCTTGGCTGTTTCCAATGTGGCCTTGAACTCACAGAGATCCAGAGGGATTTCTATCTCTGGAATGCTAGGATTAAAGGCGTGTGCTATCACTGCCTAACTAGTGGCTTTTCTGTTCTCTGACCCCAGATAAGTTTATTAAGGTACACGATATTTTGGGGAACACAATACCACCACAAGAGAGAGAGAGAATGAAAAAGTTGGAATTTTTCTGTTTTTGTTTTGTCTTCAAGAACCTACTGTCTAATAGATTGAATTTTGAATCCCCTATTATAATTTTTTTTTTTTTTTTTTTTTCTGAGACAGGGTTTCTCTGTGTAGCTTTGTGCCTTTTTCCTGGAACTCACTTGGTAGTCCAGGCTGGTCTCGAACTCACAGAGAGCCACCTGGCTCTGCCTCCCGAGTGCTGGGATTAAAGGCGTGTACCACCACCGCCTGGCCCCCTATTATAATTTTATTCCCTTGTTTTAGTATTATTCTGTGTGTATACGTGATGTGATGTGATGTGTGGGTGCACATGTCACAGCATGTCTGTGGAGGTCAGAGGAGAACTTTGTGAAGTGGATTCTGGGGATCCAACTCAGGTTGCTAGGCTTGCAGGACAAGTACCTTGGCCCCTGAGTCATCCCACTGGTCCTGTTCCTTCTAAATGGAACCAAAACCAAGAAAGCCAAAACAGACCTGTGTATATCCGTGGTATCCAACGCAATGCTTTAATCAATTACCCCTGTTTTTATGTAGGTATTTCCAAGCCAGGATCCTCTCGATCAAGCTGACTTCAATGCCGTTGAGTATATCAACACTCTGTTCCCAACAGAGCAAGTAAGTATACAGCTTTAGGTTTCCTTCTTCCCAGTGGCTTCCAGCTTACCCTGTGTGTTGTGATTGCTGTGATAAACAAATGACATTAAGTTCAAATCACATTCCACTGTAACGAGCTGGGTCGGGTGGCCAGTGGAGCCAGCGAGGAGTTCTTTGTTTGCAGAGCACAGTGTTAGAACTTTTGTCCCTTTAGTTTGTGAGAGTCTCCCTCTCAGCTCGCCGAACTTTGTGTGTGAGTTGAGGTCTTACAACATGGGAGGGGGAAGTGGGAGGGAGGCAGGCGGGAGGAAACCCCAGCTTACACGCAGCATAAGAATGTAAGGTTGTAGACATTTTGTGTATGTCCTCCTGTTGTGTGGTTTGCCTAGATGGGGTTTTCTTACAGTAATTCAGAGTTAGAAGCCGGAAAATTGAGGGAAGGCCAGGTAGACTTTGGCCCACCCTCCCACCTTCCCACCCTCCCTGCGTCCCCCTTCTCTCTCTCTCTCTCTTTCTACACAGGGTCCAATATGGCCCAGCATGATCTTCACTGTATAGCCAGCATAATCCTTTTTGCCTCTGCCTCATTGGCACTGGGATGACAGATGTGTGCCACCATGCCCGGCTTCGGGGTTTTCATTTGTTCACTAAGCAGGTGTTTACTGAGTACCTGTCGTGTGCTGTCAGTCACTGTCCTGGGCATACACGGGAATGCAGCCTTGCCACTGAGTGTGTGTGGTCCAAGCAGAAGAGACACTGCTGAATGCTGGGAGGAGACGGAAGGAAGAATGCAGTCTAAAGACGATAGGTTTCTTAGGAAATAAAACCCAGGGGCTTTCGGCCAGTGCTCAGTCAGCCAGTCCAACTCCCCAGTCACCTGTGGGACTGTGTGAGAGACTAGAGAGAAACGATCAAGGTAGCAGGCTAGCTCCTGGTCTCCTGGAGTGCAGTGTGAGAAGGAAGATAGGAAAGAAATCAACAAGAAGTGATCCAGTATGGCTGCGGGGAACATGTGTAGCCATCCAACATGGTGGCATGGACAGGGCTCTTATGAAAGAGCCTAAAGGGAGGTTCTCTTGGAGGCAGTTTCTGTTACACCAAGACATAATGACACAGGGACCAGGCCTATGACATCTTGTGAAACGTTGTTCTAGACAGAGACAGACAGGAAGACAGGAAAAAGGTCACTCTAAAAGTGGGAGGCCAGAGGACAAGTGATGAGTATACGGCAGAACATCAGAGAAATGCCGAGAGCCTTGAAGAGGCTGGGTGGAGAGATCACAGCCTGAGATGGAGCCCCCCATTGGTGCTTGAAGGGATGAAAGTAGAGGCCTATGCAGATAAAATCCATCCATTCATTTCCTCAATAGAAAAGGGCCTACTCTGCCTAATTTGGTGAGGCTGGAGGAGAGACATTGATTTGAAGAATCAGTCAGCCACCAGAGATAGTTTTTATGATCTCAGAACTTATAGTCTGCCTTGATAATTCTTCATCGCACTTACATTTAAAAGGAAATATGGATTTGTTTGTGTCAGTAGTAATTATTGTGTTATATATGAGTCCTCACTTCTACCACAATTATACTGTTAAGATTTAGCATTGATCTGGTATTGATTGCACTAAGCATTCTAAACATTTAGCAGCGATGGATTCTCCACTGTGTTGATGGCCTTGGTGGTGAGGATAATGAGCCAAGCAATAAGTAAATATGCAGAGTGCTCAGCTGAAATGCAGTATTGGATGTGGTGCAAGCAAGGTCGAATCCAGAGGCTTCCCTGAGGAATGAGACATACATTAAGGATGTTAAACTTTGGTTGTAGCCTGCTCCACTTGGCAGGTGTTGGCACCTCTTCTCCGTGTTGCAAGGGGAAGAACAGGTCCGTGGTAAACAGAGTCAGAGAAGGGTGTGAGCAGTGTAGGCCATGAGCAGCTCACTTGCGGCCATGAGTGGAAATACGCAGGTGGAGATTCAGAAGTGCGGTGCATCCTCCCATCACTGTTGTTATCCTAACACACCTTCCCACTGAGCTCACCAATGTCGTCCCGTCTTTTCCTGACTTTAACAACAAATTCTCTCTCTCTCTCTTTTTGGTCTGACAGTCTAGTTTTAAAAAACACATTGATTTTTAAAATAAACTTTGAAAAATGTTACACTGTGTGATTGTTTTTGAAGGTTTTGTAAGGAGCCTTCCGTGCTCAGCATTTCTGTGAAGGGGAGCTGGGGTTTGCTAGTGATGGAGGCTTGGTCACAGCCAGCTTAAGAGAGCCTCTCTCTGCTTATCAAGAATGCTGACTTGCCGGGAGGTGGTGGCACACACCTTTAGTCCCAGCATGCATGAGGCAAAGACAGGAAGATCTCTGAATTTGAGGCCAGTCTTCTCTACATAGCAAGTTCCAGGACAGCCAGACCCTGTCTCAAAACAACAACAACAAAAAGAATGCCAATTCAACTAAACAAACAAAAAATCAGTGTTAGAAAGCTACATAGGAAGCTGCCAGGTTTTCACCTCTTTCTAAAACAATTGTACACACACACACACACACACACACACACACACACACAGACAGACACGCACACATGCATGTGTGCACACACATGCTTTTTAAAGTGGAGCATTTGTTTTCTCCAGATTCAGTTCTGTGTCTTATCTGATCATGCTTTCATATATGTGTTAGCATGCAGTGACGTTTCTTACAGTAAGTCAGAAAGTGCAGAACACAGGGTCAGGGCACACTCTATTTTCCTGGTCCTAGAGTTATACTTAGCCAGCCGTCTACCAGCCCAGATTCCCATGGATCTTCATGAAAAAGCAGTAGAAAGTATTGGCCTAACATCCATTCTTTTTGTTTGTTTGTTTGGGTTTTTGTTTTGTTTTGTTTAGAGACAGGGTTTTTCTATGTAGCTTTTGGAACCTGTCCTGGATCTCACTATGTAGACCAGGCTGGCCTCAAACTCGTAAGAGATTCACCTGCCTCTGCCTCCCAGTGCTGGGGTTAAAGGTGTGTGCCACCACTGCCCAGCCTTATCAATTCTTTTAACTTTTGGGCAAAACCCATCTGTATATACCATGAGCCTACAAAAAATAATTTCAAATTTAGATCGTTTCAAAGATGTTTATATGTGAAGGTTTAGTGGCATTGTGAGTGAGTCGATGGGGCTGTGTATCTCTAGAGTGGCTTGCATGTCTGCAGATTCTGCAACTGGAGCGGGGCCACAAATCCTCAGGTGTGGCTCCTTCATCAAGTCTGGGGGAAGCTTGGCTTTCTGTACTTAATAGAGGTCCCTACATGGTGCTGGAGGAGCCAGCTGTGCTAACCATGATCTGGAAAACACTTTCAGCTTCCTTATAGTGAATTAAAGGATCATTTGTAACATTACTGGAGGTTTGAGAGGAGATGCTATAGAATTTATGAAAACCAGTATAATCCTAGCACTTGAGGATTGCTTGAGTCTAGGAGTTAATGACCAGCCTGGGCAACCTAGCAAGACTCCTAGCTTAAGAGGAAAAAAAAAAACCCAAAAATAAACTGGAGATATAGCTCAGTGGTAGGGTATTTGTCTAATATTTGTGAGGCTAGACGTTAAAGATCTTTTTTATAAATTTTATTTATTTGTATATTTTATGTGTGAGAGCTCTATCTGCATTATGCCTTTATGCCAGAAGAGAGCATCAGACCCCATTATAGATGATTGTGAGCTGCTATATGGGTGCTGGGAATTGAACTCAGAACCTCTGGAAGAGCAATGAAGGCTCTTAATCACTGAGTCATCTTTTCAGCCCCAAGGTTCAAGTTCTAATGCTGGAAAAAAGAAAGGGGGGGAAAATATGCATAATCAAGAAATTTGGGGGCAGAAAAAAGAACTTAGCTGGGCATGGTATCATTTGTAATCCCAGCACTTAGAGGAAAGAGGATCAGGAGTTCAATTTTAAGGTTTATTTATTTATTATGTATACAGTATTCTGTCTGCATGTGTCCTTGCAGGCCAGAAGAGGGCACCAGATCTAATTGTAAGTGGTTGTGAGCCACCATGTGGTTGCTAGGAATCAAACCCGGGTCCTCTGGAAGAGTAGTCAGTGCTCTTAACCGCTGAGCCATCTCTCCAGCCCCCTCACTGCTCACTCTTACTGCCTAGATTTTTGGTCATGTATATGTTTTAACAATTTTAAATACCTTATAACTTTTATATTTGTAATTAAAACAATCTTATAATTTATAATTATATATGCTATATACATAATTATATATAGGTATATAAATCATATTAATTTTGGTAGTATCCCTGATTTAGAAAGGTGTGATGACAAATTCCTGAGTAGTTTTCTCAAATACTAATTTGAAAAAAATTTATTTTTTATTTTATGTATATGAGTGTTATGCCTTCATGTAAGTACACCACATGTGTCTGTGCCCATAGAATCCAGAAGACAGTGTTGGAAGAGGGTGTTGGATCCCCTGGAACTAGAGCTACAGATGGTGGGAGCCACCAATGTGGATGCTGGGAACCAACTCTGGGTTCTCTGAAAGAGCAGCAAGTGCTCTTACTCACGGAGCCATGTCTCCAGTCCCGTTACACTAACATTTAAATTTTTGTTGTTCATTTTTTTGAGACAGTGTGTGTGTGTGTGTGTGTGTGTGTGTGTGTGTGTGAGAGAGAGAGAGAGAGAGAGAGAGAGAGAGAG